CGACTCAATTACTTCCCACGCCCCCGGCTTTTTTTTTTCCTTCTTTTTTTTTTGGGAGTTTCTTTTTTTACCGTCGTTCCCCTGGTCCATTTTTTTTATGTTCAGTATTCCATTTTCTTTTTATCATTGCCGTATTCCGTCTAGCTGTTTCATTTCCGTTTTCACCCCCCTTTTTTTTTCCCCCTCTGCTCTTTAGTTTGCGCTCACGCTATCCCCCTCTTACACTCCAATAGTTAACACCTGCATTGCCCTCTTTCACTATTTTAGTATTTATATTTTTTTCTACATTCGCCTTTTTTTTTTTTTCCCCTTACATTCGTTTTTTTTTTTGAATTTTTAATCCCGCTTTGAATGTGGACCATTTCTCGATTTATGCGTATCATCCTTGAAAGCGCTTCAAGGGCCATAGTAATTTTACGTTTCTTTAAAAAAAAAAAAAAAAAAAAGACACTACTAATTACCCTTCTCTGTATCGTTCCCTTTCTTTTTTTTTTTTGTCTTTTTTCTTTTGGTTGAGCGTTTGGTTGAGCGTTCCCATATATTAACCGATGTCCCGAAGAGGACATTCGCCTTCTTTACGCAGCTCTCTTTTCCGTTCATGCTCGTCTCCCCGTCAGGCCATTCGTGCACTAAGAAACGGTTGCAACTGAAGGTGGTCGTAATCACGAGCAGATAAGTCCAGGAAAACCGTAGGGCGAGTAGTATGCCTTCAACCTCTTCCTTCTCATTCGCCTTTCCTCCTGCGTTTTTTTTTTTTTTTTCAATTACCTCCTGCGTTTTCACTCCTTGCTGTCATTTGCATTTTTTTGGTTCCCTGTTGATGTTCCCCGCATTCTGATTTCCCCACCGCGCGGGCGGGGCGGGCGGGCCTAGGGGCTGGGGGTTGGGGGGAGCAGATGGCCGATGCAAATGATTTGCCAATGCCAGGGCCAACTCCATCGGCATTCTCATTCACCCAATTCTGTCAAACTCCTCCGTCTTTGTCCCCGTTTGTCCCCGTTTGTCCCCGTTTATGCCTGCTAGTCCTCGTTAGTTCTCGCTTCTTCCCTGTTTTTGTCCACATTTGTGCCCGTTTGTCCCCACCTCCCTGTCCCCGGTTATCCCCGTTTATCCCCGTTTATCCCCGTTTATCCCCGTTTGTCGCCGTTTACGTTTATCCCCGTTTGTCCCCGTTTGTCCCCGTTAATCGCCGTTTGTCGCCGTTTACCGCTGTTTGTCGCCGTTTGTCGCCGTTTACCGCCGTTTGCCCCCGTTTGCCCCCGTTTGCGCCCGTTTGCGCCCGATTGCGCCCGTTTGCGCCCGTTTGCGCCCGTTTGCGCCCGTTTGCGCCCGTTTGTCCCCCGTTTGTCCCCGTTTGTGCCCGTTTCTCCCCCGTTTGTCCTGCAGCGGATTTGCCGGATCCCAGGGGCAATCCATCGACTTTCCGCCTGCACGTTTTCTGAGGCTTAGCGAAATTCATACGATGCGTATCCAGAAAGCAAGCAGCGATGGTCGCGTCTTGCCTCTGCTCAACATTCTCCCCTCTTGTCCGTCTGCTGTGCTTCGATTGGAAATCATACATGTGCTGCGCAAGAAAGCGAAGAGCAATTGCTTCTCTCTCTCTCCCCCTCCCTCTCTCTCTCTCTCTCTCTCTCTCTCTCTCTCTCTCTCTCTCTCTCTCTCTCTCTCTCTTTTAACGCTCCAGATGCTGCCGTGTTGCTGTGTCTATTGCGGGTGTGTGGTTTTCGTTCCTGATACTGATTCTGAAACCTAGCTCTGGGTTTCTCCTTCCGCTTGCTCATGGTTGTTTCAACCGTGGTGGTTCATCGCTGTCTGTCGTTCTTTTTCATCCTATTTTGGTTCTATTAGTGTTGAAGAACTATGTTATCCTTCGGGACACCCGTTAAAATTGGAACGATACAGAGAAGGGTAATTAGCAAAATGGTCCCTGCGCTTCCAAGGATGACACGCATAAATCGAGAACTATGTCGTTCACTTAATTTCGATTTTTTTTTAACAAATTCGGTGAAATCGGACGGAGCACCTTTCTGCGGGCTTTCCTGGCCCATCTGTGTTATTTAAACAGGACGTGGCGGTATAAAAAGGATTATCTTGTCAAATGTAACAAAATGGCTCTCCGCTTTCGCTTGTCGTTGAACCCAAAAAAAAACGTCAAATTTCACGAAACTATCCTTTTTTTCTTCTTCTTGTGGTTTGGTTTTGCTCATCCCTTGTTCCTTTGACTCGTTGGTCTGTCTATTTGTCCCCCCCCCCCCTTCTCTCTCTCTCTCTCTCTCTCTCTCTCTCTCTCTCTCTCTCTCTCTCTC